AAAGAAAGAAATCAAAGAGAAAGCTAAAAGTGCAAGAAAGGGGGAAAAAGTAAAAGAAAAATAGAAAAGAAAAAAGAAAGAAAGAAATGGCTTCCAATCTTCTTTACAGCAGTTATACGTACAATGATAAATTTACTTCTTATTCTAAAGTTATGACATGACTCTCTTCTTTCTATAATCTATCCTGTCTAATCATCAAAACCATAAATCATAAGTTCTTTTGTTTCTGTTTTACGCAAAAATTCCATAAGGGGTTTCCAGTCAGCCATAAATGTAGATATTGTCTTTTCTCTCATCAAAGAAGTCAATTTGGCCATCTCACCAAGTCCCATCATCTCTACCAACCATTCCTCCACTGTAGGTATTGCCAAACCCTTCCATCTTTGTGCATACAATAATCTATTTATTGCAACTTCTGTAACACATCTTATATCAGTAGACCTCTAGTGGGATTCAAGCAAAACACGAGTAGGAAATTAACCCCACAAATATCACAGTGAGTTACTGTATTGCCACATATAGCTTTCAAAAGCTTAGGGGAACCGCCAGGCGCGACGAATTCAACTTCTCCTCCAATCTGATTTTGGGGAGAGGGGTTTTCCAAAAGTGGGGTGCCACCACTGAGCAGTCCCTAACATGAGCTTTCCAGTGGTGAAAGAAAAGATCTTCCCTGGCAGATCTTCGCATTGGGATAGCTGTTAAACAGGACAAACAGTAGTCTCAAATGTCACAGTTGTGTATCTGAATTATGAGGTAGACTACAGAAATGCTGTAATAAAACTAGCCAAGGAAGCTGAAAACGCAGAAGGAGAATACGCCCCAAAGGTTCCTAGCCAGGACAGTGGGTCTGTTTTGCACAATTTGGAGGCTATGCTGTTTCTGAGATCTTCCTGCCCACAAATAACTGTGATGACTTTGCTGCTTGGAAGGTCTGAATCATGGGTGGATCTCGAAGGAGACCAACCACATTGATCAGGCTAAGTGTCTTTTGTCTCTTGTATCTGTGTGGGGGAGCTATACAGCTGGGTACTTCTACAGTCTGATTAGTAGTTCTGCAAAACATACCAGTAAATCTATTTGGCTCCTTTTAGTAGGAAAGCAGAATAAAAACCACCAGGCTGAGCTAAATGAGGAAGTTCAACCTTAGTTTCCAGTAGCTGCTGCAAGACGTCTGTCTCTTCACTCTTCCTCTCTGAGATCCGTCTGCTTCTGGCCTTATATGGTATTGCCAAATGGCTCTTGGTTAAGAAATATTTCTGCTTTCCTGTGGCTTTTTCTATGCTATTTACTTCCTTGCCTTTCAACCACACTGGAGGCTGTAATTCGAAATAGCCAGAATGGCGATCTTTTGAGAACTACACTTCACATTTTGCACCATTGATTAGAATGGGATGAAGGCAGAGTGATGGTTTTCCCTGGTTTTACTGTTCCTTTCTGGTTTGTTTCTTTCATTAAGCCTATTTAGAAAGCTTACCAGTGTTTTTCATGCCTGGACATGGTAGCATAAAGGACAGCTGTTGGGGGACAATTGTGGTTGGAGGGGCGTGGGGGGAAGAGACATAAGAGGGGGGGCTTGGGGGCAGTGGATTACTCATCCCACTGAGGTTACTCACTACTTCTAACCATCCTTCTTACCTACTTGGATAGGTGTCATGTCTGAATGAACATTAGTTTCACTGAACTAGAATGATGGTCTTCAGATTATGCATTTGACATGTAATCCTGCAGAGCAGTGATTTTCAAACTTGGCCACTTTAAGATGTGTGAACTTCTGGAAGTTGAAGTCCACACATCTTAAAGTTGCCAAGTTTGAAAAGCACTGCTCTAGAAGGATTAAAAGAGAAAGAATTGGGGATGACAATATGAAAGGTAGCCTTCTAAATTAGCCCCTGGAATATGCAGCTGAGAGAATTCACCTAGCTGAAAAACTAAGCAGGATGAGACCTGGTTAGTACTTGGATAAGAGACTATCAGGACATTTCAAGTCTAGACTGTCAGCTATATTGGGAAACTTCAAAGAAGGTAATGAAAAACTTCTCCTAAAACCTCACATAGCCATGTTCATTAAATCACCAGGAGCCCAACTCCATGGAGACTTTGCCTTAAACACTCTAGGCATGTTCTTATTTCTAAAAGATCAGATCTTCACTCAGTTGGGTTCACACACCACATCAAATTCTTAAGTCTGTATTAACAAAATCCAATTGCTGGGTTCACAAAAACATGAGGTGCCCACCAGGCCTGCTTTCCCACAAATTACCCAGGATTCTGTTGCATCCTAGTCTAGTGTAGTGTCTGAATCCAGACCTTAGATAATTGCTGACCAGTTACTTTCTCCCAGCTAGCTTTCTGTGACATGAGAAAGCTGAACTGTTTTTCTTCCTGGGCAGGTTAAGAAGCCATGGCTTATCAAAGCTTCCTGCTGGAACCCATCACCTGCCATGCCTGGAACAAGGACAGAAGTCGTAAGTCTGCCTTTTAGGAAGGCTGCCTGACCCCCAGAGATTCAGTTCCTGAACCCAACAATTGTGGCAGCAGGAAAAACCTTAAGGGGGAAAGCTGAAAGATGGGCTGAGGGTGAATGGAGTCAAGATTTTGACATGGCTTCTAATGGCATTAGGTAAACATGGCCTTTGCACCCAGTGCATAAACTGCCCCAACGTATAGCTTTACAGGCCTCTATAAGAGAGAGAACCAGTATGGTATTGTTGTGAAGGTGGTGGACCCAGGCTCTAGTTCTCCTGTACGCATGGAAGTTCCTGAGATGATTCTGGGCCAGTTCCTCCCTCTCAGCCCAAGAGCCAATACGGTCTAGTGCTAATGGTGCTGGACTAGAAGTGGGGACATCCAGCTTCTAGTCCCCCCTCAACTACAGAAGCTCCCTGGGGGACTTTAGACCTCTCAGCCCAACATGCCTCAGAGAGCTGTTATGGTGAGGAACATTAGGAAGACAGAATGTTCTTACATATGTTGCCTTGAGCTCCTGAATGAAAGGTCAAGCTATAAATCGAATACATAAATAATCTTCAGCTTTTCAGATCAGGGACAGATTTCTCCTCATAGGTAGCCAAATTTCCCCCCATCCTTGTTATCTCCCCAAAAGCAGATAATCATCCAGAACAAAGATGATGAGTGAGGGGGAAACAGTAGAGGTTGAATAAAGGTTATAGGGAGAAATGAGATCCAGGGTTATTCTTTTCATAGCTGGGAAGAGCCAACCTTAGGGCACTGCTGGCACAGAGGCAGTGTGAAAGAACGGAAGATGACTACCTTGGCATGAATTGATGCATAAAGGTGTGCAAGAGAAGGGCACACTTTGTGAATCAACCAGCCACCTTAGCAATCATTTCCTGCTCTCCAGCTGTGGGGATTGGAAAAATCTGCTCTGGTTGCCCCATTGTTCTTGAGAATGGTAATTAAAAATGGTTTTCTCAACCTTTGGAAGGAGACATTTGATTTGGAGATGGCAGAGTTGAGTGAACTTTGGAGGAACATTGGAGCTTTCATGCTGCCTGATTCTATGCTTGGAAAAAAAAATCACCTGATTGCTGCTAAAAATCATGGTGTTTGTAGCAATGGGTTAGAGTTAATACTGAACATGTCTGGTGAGGGGCTGGGAAGACCTTTGCATCTGGTCATCTAGTCCACCCACTCCATGTAGGATCTGCAAGTATAAAATCCCTCACAAGGGGCACAGAGAGGGAGAGGCATTCTCTGCTCGCCAATGATTAGAAAGACTCTCCCATAATGAACCCACCTCCTTCTCCCTTGGAATTTCCAACCCATTCATTCGACTCCTGCTCCCTGGAGAAGAAGAACAAGACTGCTTTCTCTTCTGCGCGGCTGAATCAGGGACGCTCCAGCCATCCGATAATAAAGAGCCATTTATCTGCAAATGTGTGTGTGGGTTGTGGTTTTTTTTTTTTGGTATGTTTCTTTTTTGTGTTGTTGGAGAAAAAGGAAAAACACAAAAAAGTGATGTTAAGACAGAAGAGATCCTTGCTGTCTACAACTGTGGTTTGATATGATGGGCCAAGATGCCTTTGTGTTGATGTATTCATCAAGCTGGTTTTTTGTCTTCTTCCCCGCAGAACTTGCCATCTCCCCCAATAATCACGAAGTTCATATCTACAAGAAAAATGGTGCCAAGTGGGACAAAATCCATGAGCTGAAGGAACACAACGGGCAAGTGACAGGTGAGGACAACCAAGTCCCCACTAGCTGGAAGGAGCTGATGGAAAGAAGGATGTTCCTTCTAGCACTGGGCACTTGCCCAGCTAGGCATTCTGGGAGTTGTAGTCCAGCACACCTGCAGGATGCCAGGCAAGGGAAGTCTGAGTTAGAGAAAAGGTGAGATGTCAATAGGCTATTTAAATCAGAGAACAAGTTTTTGGAACCCCTTGTCCCACCACTCATTAATGGCTGTGAAATAGGCAACCACAACACAAACAATCAGACTCTGAAGCAAGTAGGACAACATTTTGAAGAACCACCACCAAACCTGGCTTAAAGTGATCTCCTTTACAGGCATCGACTGGGCCCCGGACAGCAACCGGATTGTGAGCTGCGGGACAGACCGCAACGCCTACGTCTGGACCCTGAAGAACGACGTTTGGAAGCCAACCCTGGTCATCCTCCGGATCAATCGTGCTGCCTGTTGTGTCAAGTGGTCCCCGAAAGAGAACAAGTTTGCTGTGGGCAGCGGTTCCAGGCGGATCTCCATCTGCTACTTTGAGCAAGAGAACGATTGGTGTGTCTTGGCAAATGCAAGTGGGTGGGGTTTTTTGGTGGGGGTCTTATCCTTTCAATGCTTGTGGGAGAAACAGAGAATCACAAATAGGTCATGAACCTAGATTAATACATTCTGAGTTTTTCTTTAGAACTCTCTAATAGTGTTTGGATTCCTTAAAATGAGACTAACATTTCTCTCTAACGTACCCTAGGTGGGTCTGTAAGCATATCAAGAAACCAATTCGATCAACAATACTTAGTCTGGACTGGCACCCAAACAACGTCCTCCTGGCAGCTGGATCCTGTGATTTCAAATGCAGGTGAACCTTCTGGTTTTATTCATTTTCCAATTTAGCTTTTGAACCGTTTCCCAGGATGAGAACCGTAGGGGTGAAAAGTTCCACAGAAACTGATTTCAGCTGAACGTTGGCATGAATGTTGATGTATGGGCCTTTACCAGATTACAGAACTATTATTAGCTCGTATTGTAACTGGAAACGTTTTAATTTCAGTTGAGGTTTAACTGTTAGAAATGGCTCTTCTCCATTTTATTGATTTCCTGTTAAAAACAGTCCTAGAAACTCAGCTAGGATTATGTGGCAAGTTAGATATGATTTCAGCCTGTCAAGCTAGGACAGTGTTTCTCAACCTCAGCCACTTGAAGACGTGTGGACTCCAACTCCCAGAATTCCCCAGCCAGCCTGGGGAATTCTGGGAGTTAAGTCCACACGTCTTCAAGTGGCCGAGGTTGAGAAACACTGAGCTAGAAACTAGCAAAGTTAATAGCAGGATCATGGAAATGAGAGAAGCCGAACTGAAAAAAATGTTACAATGAACCATAGGAAGAAAATGAAGGGAAGTATATGTAACTACAAATAGATGTAAACTGAATTAACTGTAGAATAGTTCATTTATTTGGGAAAGATGGGTAATAGCGTTGAATATAAGGGATGGAAGGACATGGGAGATTATCTCATTTAATCCTCTGCCTAGTGCTGGAATTCAATGTCACAGTATCCCCAGCTGGATGGAATCCTAGAACAGGGAGGTGGTGCTTTTAGACAGCAATCTGTTATATGATTGTGTCTGATTATGCGCCATCAAGTTGATGGTGACTCTTGGAGACCACCCAGATAGATTTCCTCCAGGACAATCTGTCCCATATGATTATGAAGGGTGCGATATAAACATGCAATGGAGCCTTATCGTCCACCCATTGCATACTGGTTGATAGGATTATGGATCTAGCTGAAATAGTTCCTTCCCTGTTGAGTGTTACAGAGTCATCTGCTTTGTTTTTCTCTTTTCCCTTCAGGATTTTCTCTGCCTACATTAAGGAGGTTGAAGAGCGGCCAGCCCCTACCCCCTGGGGATCCAAGATGTCGTTTGGGGAGCTCATGTTTGAGTCGAAGAGTAGTTGCAGCTGGGTCCACAGCATCTGCTTTTCCGAGAGCGGGAACCGTTTGGCATGGGTGGGCCATGACAGCACCATCTGCCTGGCTGATGCCAACAAAAAAATGGCGTAAGTGGGATGGTTTGAGAGAGGGGGGAGAAAGCTGGGGGCAAGTTGATGGGTTGTAACGGGAAGAAGGAATAACCTTGAGGAACAGGAGGAAGAGCTGCAACCAAGACAACGGTCAGATAAAAGAAATCTGAGTCTGGGGCAGAAATGTAATTTGAGATGGAGAAGATGAAGATGGAGGGAGGGGGAAACACATCCAGACAAAATTATTTTAATCTTAAAATAATTAAATAATTAATGTTTATCTGACATGGGTAGACCAAAAAAATCACATGGGTCATGTAGAGTTCCTCAG